CCACCTCCCCAGCATAGGACACTGAGTTAGAGTGTATGTGAACTAATTTTCTTGTTGCTTATACTTAACAGGAAACAACTTAAGGGAGGAAAGATTATTTTGGCTCATACTGTAAGGGAATGCAGCTCATCATTGTAGGCAAGGCATGGCAGCAGGAGTTTGAGGCAACTGGTCACATTGTGCCATATTCAGGAAGATGACAGCTACTGCTTTTAACGCCTTTTCCTTCCCTTTTTACTCAGTCTAGGCCCTCAGCTCATGGGATGGTGCCACTCACATTTAGAATGTGTCTTCCCTTCTCAGTTGAAGGAAGTTCTCTCATTGACATGCACTAAGAAAACAAGGCCAACAATCGACAGTTAAACATACTTAAAATCATTCTTTTGAGCTCTTTGGAATTTCATCTAATTCATTCTCACAGGAAGCCATTCTTGTGAGATTAGTAATTTTTGGAGGAGTTATGGTCCCATTGTTTTTCATATTACTGCATTGGTATTTTTACATCTGAGGTTATTTCATTGCTTGGATTACTTGTTATCAGGTACATTCTTTCGGTTGAAGTACCTGTAATATTTAAGTGGGTCTCGGCTGTGGTAGTCCAGAAGTTAGATCTTCCCTCTAGGAGCTCAGGGGCCTGAGGCTGCTTCTGTATTACTCCTAGAGTAGAATATTAACTGCAAGAACAGTCACAACTGCTGGATATGCCACTATGAAAATGTCATAGTAGCCAATTGATAGTACTGGCCCCTTTAACTTCAGTCGTTTCTGGAGTGAATTTCTGGCGCAAATGCACTGAGTTGTGTGGCATCATTCTCAGCCCTTTCCTTGACTCTCTCTCTGCTTGACTCAGTGTTGTGGTCTATTATTTTCTTAACAGGGGTGAATTATGTTTGCTATTTTATTTAGTATTTCACATTGATATTTATCTTTACCTGGCTTAGGTATCAGTGTTACCACATTTCCTTCATAAAAGGAGGTAGGAAGATGTGTCCCTTTTCAGTAGACTAGAACAAATTTTAATGCCTTGGGACTATCTGGTTTGGGAGGAATTTTACAGTTTCCTATGAACTGTAGCTTGTGAAGCATTCTTGGCCTGGTTCTTTTTGAAGTATGTGCTATTATTTCTTCAGTGACTTCCTGTTTTGTAGAAAATCTATCTGTTTAAAATTTCCTAATCCAGATGAGACTCCATGCTTCCCTGGGAACTATGTATTTCATCTGGGGTTATAATTATTTTCATAGAAGTCTCATTTATGATTAAATCTTTTTTCTTAAGCTTCAACAATTATTTCCTTCTCGTTCTTACTTATTTAAAGATTTATGCTTTCTCTTATTTATCTAGTTAGATTATGATTTACTCATTTTGTTATTTTTTTCTGGAAAAGAAAATAATGAATGCTCAACACTAATAACCGTGATTGGTTTATTAATTAATCTATTGATTTACTGTTCTCTATGTCACTAACTTCTGCTTTAACCTTATTATTTTACCCTCTAGTTTTGTTTTCTTTCTTATCTTTTTTTCTTGTGGGAATGTTCCAGTTCCTAAACTTTGTCTTTAGTTGCAGGTGTTCTGTCCTCTGTTGCTTTGGTGAAGCTTTCCATGGATGTGTGTATTTGCCATATTGTGTATTTTCATTACCACTATTTCAGTTTGCTTTTTCTTCAGTATTCCAATTTCTCCTTATAGAAGTCCCCCCTCATATCTTGTATTGACCTCCATATTTCCTTAATTATTTGGGTTCTCTTGGGTTTGCTTGTTGGTTTTGAGAACTGGAAATTGAATTCATCTTAAACATTTTTATTGATAAATGTATAATGGTTTGAGTTTGGTTACTAGTTTAAATGTATCCCATAATTTTTATTATGCAATGATTTCATTATTATTATTATTATTAAATATTGTAATTCTTTAAAAAATTTCCTTTCTCCTTTAAGAATTGCCTTAATATAATATAAAGTTTTTAAAAAATCTTTCTATGTAGAAAAAGCGCTCTGTTTTTTTGTTCTTGTTAGTAATTTCTGGTACAATTGCACTGGGATCAAAGGTGTTGTTTTTGTTTAAAAAATACTTCTGCTGTGGGGAATGTTTTCTCTGTGACCTCACAGACTGGATTAGCATTTTCTGTGACTGTACCATAACACTGGAGAATTTTCATGCTTTATATTTAGGATCCAGAGCTCTGTGTAAATGTAAGACCTACTCTACAGATTATCAACCTTCCTTTCATCTTTTACTTTTTCCCATGCAGCAACCTTATATTGGATGTGGTGCATAAATGTTTCTTATTATTGGGTTTCAATCTTTGATTCTTCATCTTTCTCTTTTTTCTTTGTAAAGATAGCTGTTCTGTTTAATAGAATATAGATACTCATTAGTATTATATCTTCACTGAGAATTGTGGCTCTTAGCACTGAAAACATCTGTGATGTTTACTTTAATGTATTTCTATGCCTACATTTTGTTTGCTTCCATGAGCCTTAGGTACTATATTAGTCACTTTTCTGTTGCTGTGATAGAAACACTGACCCAAGCAACTTATAGAAGGAAGAGTTTATTTGAGCTTACAGTTCCAGGGAAATTACAGTCTGTTATGTAAGGGAGGCATGGTGCCTTGAGGTGGCTGGAGCAGGACCAGCAGAAGCTAAGCTCTCACATCATCACACAGGCACAGGAAGCAAGAGAGCAACTGGAGATCTGGCAAGGCTTAAGAATTCTCTAAGCCCACCCCTAGTGACGTGCTTCTTCTAGGATAGCCACACCTTCTAAAACCTCCCAAAACAGTGCCATCATCTGGGGACAAAAATATCCAAATTCTTGGAGCCTATGGGGGACATTTTCATTCAAACCATCACATTCCATCCCCCACTTCATTTACATGTTGCCCTGGTCAATCCCATCAACATTTACTGGACCAAAACAAGACCGAAAACCAGCAGGGCAAACACCAAATCCAGTATCTCCATGTCTAAATTCTGGGACTTTACTTCCAAAGGGCTTAGATGGCTCAGCCTCTCTGGCTTTGCTGCATGCAACACACATCTCTCTCTTGTGCTAGTACCACTCCCTGTATGCAGGTTTTCTTGGCAGATGCCTCACAGCTCTGGCATCATGAAAAAACAAGACCGAAAACCAGCAGGGCAAACACCAAATCCAGTATCTCCATGTCTAAATTCTGGGACTTTACTTCCAAAGGGCTTAGATGGCTCAGCCTCTCTGGCTTTGCTGCATGCAACACACATCTCTCTCTTGTGCTAGTACCACTCCCTGTATGCAGGTTTTCTTGGCAGATGCCTCACAGCTCTGGCATCATGAACTTCTATAAAATATTTGCCTTCTGCCTCTTTTTGTTCTAGAAATTTCCTCATAAAGGACTTAGTGGGCATTGCATTCATGCTGACATTTGAAGGCTACCTTGGCTGGCTAGCTTAAATTCTCTTCCTTCCTTCCTTCCTTCCTTCCTTCCTTCCTTCCTTCCTTCCTTTCTTTCTATATGCTGCTGCATTGCCTCATGCCTTATGCTGAAATTTTGGAAGTCTAATACCAATGTGACTCTTTCTACAGAAGGCCGTGACTTTATTTACTTCCCTGACATCTTAATACTTGTACTCGGCCACATATCCAAGATTTTAATTTTAGTAATAGTGCTGTTCCTCTGTTCTGTTTTTGTTCCATCTGGGCACCAACAAACATCATTTATTGAGTGCTTCCTGTCCATTGTGCCTCTGACTTATTTTATATAAATAACTTCATTTTCTCAGTTGTTTTAGGGCCTTTATTCAGTGACTAGTCTTATGTTTTCTTGTTTTTTCCATTTTCCCTTGGGCATCTCATAAATTTATTTTTTATTGCTGAGAATCCTTTAATTCATCCCTGAGGTGTCATTGTTTTTCTTCCTTGCTATTTGTCATTTCTGTTTTCTGTTTTTGATTTCTGACTTTAAGATGGAAGTGCTTGTCTGATTATATTTACCTCGCCTTGAAGTGTGGGCTTTCAGTTTCTTCTGCTTCCTGGTTGTTTGTGGAGGGGGCTTTTCCTCAGATGACAGGCATGAAACTTCACTCTGTGATTGCTGCTACACTGGCTCTGTGTGTTCATTTAAAGCTGCTGGGCTTGTGTTTTTTCTGGATTCCAGTTTGAAGGTGCCCTCTTCTGCCAGCAGAGGTGTCTTTTTGGCTTTTCCCCTGCAGGACCCACTTTGGACATCCTTTCTTCCTGAATGCTTAACCGCTCAGCTGCAAAGGAAGCTTTTCAGTTCTCTTTGCTCTTTTCTCCTGCAAATGCTTGCATTGCCGAGACCTCCTCAGTCCGATGGCTTCCCTTCCGGATTCTTCTCTCCCCTTCCCTGGCTCTGTCTGCCTTTACTTGCTGTATGGCTCTGTGGTTTTGTGGAATGGGAAAGTAGCAGGAGCCAGCAGCTGAGATTTGGAGGTGTTTTCACTCCAGCCACTGTTCAGCTCTTACTTTACAGTCACTGTACAACATAATGGATTTCATAGTGACATTCGCACTCAGGCACATCATATACGTGGCTGCATTCACCTCCTGTTCCCCTCTCTTGTCCCACACTTATGCTATTTTTCTTTCTCTAGCCATATAGTCCCTTGTCTACTTTAATGCTGTGTGTGTGTGTGTGTGTGTGTGTGTGTGTGTGTGTGTGTGTGTGTGTGTTTGTGTGTGTGCGCATGTGTAAAATCTAGGTTCCACGTATGAGAGACAACGTGATATTTTTCTTAGTCTGGCTTATTTTGCCATCCATTTAATGACAATTATGTAATTTTGTTCTTTATGACTCTATAACACTTACTCTATGTGTGTGACATTTCTTTTTCAACCATTCATCTACTGAATCACATCTAGACTGATTCCAGAACTTGGGTACTTTGAGTAGTGCCACAGAAAGCATGAATGTGCAGGTACCAAGGTCACGTGCTGACCTAGGTTCCTTTGGGTACATTGACAAAAGTGGTATATCTGGAGCATATGGCAGTTTAACTTAAAAAAAGTACATATGGATGCTTCATGAATTTGCATGTCACCCTTGCACAGGGGCCATGCTAATCTCTGTGTTGCTTCAATTTTAAATTATGTGCTGCTGAAGCAAGCACAGTTTTACTTGTCTTTTGAGAAATCTCCATATTGAGTTCCACAGTGACTTTACTACTTTATATTACCACCATCAGAGAGTAAGGGTTAATTTTCCCAGCATCCTTGCCAGCATCTATTGTTGCTATTTATCCATTTATTTATTTTGTGTGTGTGTGTGTGGGGGGGGGTGCACATGTGTGGTGGTTTGAAAGAGAGCTGTCCACTATAGGCTCCAGGTGTTTGAATACTTGGTGAGTTGGTGGTGCTGTTTGGAGAAGGTCATGGAGCCTTTGGAAGGTGTGGCTTTGCTGGAAGAAGCATGCACTGGGGGCAAGCTTTGAGATTTCATACCCTTGCCCCACTTCCAGTTGTGTTCTCTCTGCTTCCTGCATGTTCTTGAAGATGTAGGTGCTCAGTTTCCTGCTCCAGCAATCTCCTGCCTCCTGCCATGCCTCCCCACCATGATGGACTCTTATCCCTCTGAAACCATAAACCAAATAAACTCTTCCTTCTATAAGTGGCCTTGGTCATGGTGTTTTAGTACAGCAACAGAAAACTAATACAGTGTGTGTGTGTGTGTGTGTGTGTGTGTGTGTGTGTGTGTGTGTGTGTAGGGATACATGCATGTGTGTGTACATGTGGAGGCCAGAGGCCAGGCAGACTTGGGTGTCGTTTCTCACATGCTGTCCACCTTTATGAGATAGGGTCTCTCAGTAACCTGAAACTGGCCAAGTAGGCTAGGCTGACTGGTCATTGAGTCCTAGGGATCTGCTTTTCTCTCGCTCCCCAGCACTAGGATGACAAGTGTGTTTCACCATGCTGTCTTCTTCTTCTTTTTTTTTTTTAATAGTTCTAGGGATTGAACTCAGGTCCTGGTGCTTGCAAAGCAAACAGTTTACCAACTTAGCTATTGCCTCAGCCTGCTGTTTTTTTTTTAAATTTATTTTTCATTATAACATTTCTGACTAGGATGAGAATCACAATGTAGCATTTGATTTGGGTTTTCCTAATGGCTAGGATACTAAGTTTTTTTTCATGCATTTATTGCCTATTTGTACTTTATCTTTTGTAATCATCTTCTTTGCTCATTATTGATTAGATTACTTGTTGGGGATGGGGTTTGATTTTTTTTTTTGTGATCTCTCTAGAGCCTACATATAAATCCCTTTCTTATGTACAGCTGGCAAAGATTTCTTCCCAGTTGCAAGGTTGTCTCTTCACTCTGTTTCTTTTGCTGTGTGGAAGGGTTTCATTTCATTCAGTCCCCACTTCACTATCTGCTGCTTGCTGTGGCCCTCCTTTGCTTTTCTGTGCTTCCCACTTCCTTCTGCGTTGTGGCTGAGATGTTTTCTTTCAGGTTTGTGGGACCAAGGGATGCTGCTTGTCTCCACCCTACCATCTCATGCCTCTGTTCTATGCTTTCCATGTTGTCTATCTACAAGTTATGTGGAAGGCAAGTGCCTTAGTGTATTTTCTGTTGCTATAGAAGAATATTGAAGATTGATTGGGTAATTTCTAATGAATAGAAGTTAATTTGGCTCATGGTTCTAGAGTCTGGAGGTTAAAGATCAAATGTCAGTGCTTGATGAGGGCCTTCTTGCTTTGTCATAACATGGCACAGCACCTAAGAGAAAGCAGAGCTGGACTTGCTTTGACAACAAAGCCACTGCCTTGGTAATGACATTAGTTCATCATGACTGTGGAAGGCTCATGGCCTAAGTGCTGCCTGTAGGGCCCATATGCTAGTACTGCATGGTAGATTGAGCTCATAGCACATGAACTTTCAAGGAACACATCCAAACCATAGCAGAATGGTTCTCTGTAGACTTTGCTGTTCTATTGTTTTTCCTATCCTTTGGGAAGAAAATTTCAGAAGAGGTATAAGCTGTTTCTCCACTGCCAGTTTGTAAAAGGGAACCAACTGTAAATCAATCAACAAACACTGTGCTGTGGTACTGCAGCGGCTACAAGCCAGATTGGTGGACAGTTCACAGTGTTCTGCACCAGACTACAGGGCTATGAATGGGAAAGAAGGTCAGGAGGATGAGGAGTCAGAACCTGCATTTCCTGGTCTTGTACTTTGTGACTTGCTCTTGGTTTGTTCTAGAGCATCTTTGGGGAGGGAGGAGACCATTGGCTGTAAAAAAGATATGAAAATATGCTGGGCGTGGTGGCACATGCCTTTAATCCCAGCACTCAGGAGACAGAGGCAAGAGCACCTCTGTGAGATTGAGGCCAGTCTGGTCTACATAGTGAGTTCCAGGCCAGCTGGGGCTACAGGGAGATCCTGTCTCAAAAAGACAAAACAACAAAAAAAAATCTGAAAATCACACCACGCACTAGAGATCAGTGAGGGGCTTTGTGTGTGGGCACTTGTCTGCCTTAACCCAGATACCCAGGTATACTCTCTCAGTCATCCCAGGTGGGACTGAGCTGTACCTTCTCCTCTGGGAGCTGAGGTTTGAAGCTGCGTCAGCTCCTCTCATCTCAGCACTCATTTTTCTTAGTGACCTTCCAGAAGCTATTTGAATTGCTTTGGTCCTAGTGGGGATGTATCACAGACCCCATTGTATAGTTCCATCCTTCAGAGTCCAGGGGAAACACCTTTCCTGATTTGGATCTCCAGGCTTTTTATGTTGTACTGTGATTGGAGGCTCCACCTCTCTGCCCTAACAGTGCCATCTAGTTATCACAGGTTCGCATCCTTGGCTTCCAGGATGTCTTCCTCAAGGACATGCCTACTGCTGCAGGGTAGGTTTTACAGCATAGGACCAGCACTTGTTTCCTTGTGGGCTCAATCCTGGAGGTGTTGAGGGAGTGGATGAGCCCCATCATCTCATATTACTCTGCTAGGACTGTCCGTTAAAGCTCAATGCCTGCAGGAATTTAGAACCTGAGCTATGACTTGAGCTATACTGAAGAGCAATTAGAGAAAAGGCGAGAATTTAGATGCATCTGAGTACATCATGTTAAATGTAATGTTTTCTTGCCAATGGCCAACAAACTAGATTCATCTTTTTAAAAGAGTATTCTTGTTAAAGATTGAGACCAAATTCTAGAATGTGGAAGGATTTCTGTGCTCCATGTTGTTTTAATGAGAAAAAAAAAGAGTTTTACAAGGACTGTCACATGAAATATTCATTTAAAAATCCTTCTAGAATGAGAAGACAGATTCTCATGTGTAACAAACACTCTGCAAACATTAAAAATTAATTCCCAAGAACAAGAGAGTGGAACAGGGAGATGTAGGCACGGAATTTTTTCCCAGAATTCGAGAACTGTGATCTCAACTTCTCCACTACACCTCCCAGTCTATCACACAGGTGCTAAGGGCTTCTCCATCCTGCCACCCTGATAGGTTCCTGAAGGGATGTGATGGTAGTGATGGGTTAGGAGGCCAACTTTGTGGGGAAATCTCCAGATTCCCTTTTTTTGGGGGGGGATTCTTTTCTCAGTAATAGAAAGTGTCTGCTAGAGAGTAAGCTGGGACTAGAAATTACCTAAATCTTCATGTCTCCCAGTGGAAGCTTTTCTGAGCCAGGCTCCTTTGTAACCAAGATAATGAGACTTGTGCCAGGAAATATTTGGAACCTGGGGTCACAACTCAGTGAGTAAGGAGGGCAGCTAATGAATAAAAGAAGGAAGAAGTCAGGCTCCTAAATGACCTCAGTCCCTGCACAGGGTTTTAGGGTGCAGGACAGCAGCTGTGTGATTCTCTATCAGCAATGAAAAGCACCATGTTTATAGAACGTGAGGATTTATGCAGAATTTTGCTCACAGCTTAAAATGTCAGCAGTGCCCAAAGGGGAGGTTCACTGTGACCCAGCTCACCAGACAGCCTTCACAGTGCAGGAAGAGGAGATGCAGGAGCCCAGTCACTACCATGTGCTCTCTCTGGGTGGCTTACTGGTGTGAAGGTGCCCCTGCCCTTTCCTTGCTTAGAAGCTATCAAAGAGCTTTGGCCACTCTGCTAGGGTGACCCCTTAATGTTACCAGCATCTAAGGTGACACTGCAACTGTAAGTCTCCGTAGATAGTCACACACACACACACACACACACACACACACACCTCCTCCTGCCTCTAAGAAGGAGCAAAGAAAAAGAACATGTTTTTTTTTTTTTGACTAAGGTGGCTCAGAAGTACTGGTTATGTCCTTAGAATAAGTTATTTAAATTTAATACTCATACAAAGAAGTATTAATATCTCAGGGGACTAGGGACTCAATTGGTAAATGGAGAAAACCTGAGTCTCCCATGGATGGGTGCTAATTCCAGAAAAACCTGTATCAAGGGTTCAGAGGATGCCTGGATGTGGCCTGACCACCCTTCCTTGCTTCTAGCTTCTAACACCTGGGTTTTGCTTGGCTTTATTTCCATAGAGGTTCTGCCTATGACAGTGTGGAGAAACTCAGCTGATAATTTAGAGTCTCACAAAGGGGAGCCAATTTAGGACTGCATCTATCTAGCCTAGACTCCAACACACCTTCCACAGATGGGGCAACCTGGGTCAGAAGAAATGGTTCACTGAGGAGAGAAGACAGGCAACTTCCAAATAAACACCAGCTTCTTTGGAAAATGAATGTATTTGTGTGTGTGTGTGTGTGTGTGTGTGTGTGACTTTACTCCTTGTAACCCAGTCACTTGTAACCCACTCAGGAGTCCTGACTCCCTGCATTGCCCCCTTGTGTCCCTCCTTGAGGCCCTCTTCATAGGATGTAGGTTCTTCCCATGGAGTGGGCACCTTCTTGCCCTTTGAGCCCAGGGTCTTTCCTAAATCAACAAACTCAAAGTCCCTCTATTTCTTTCCTGGCTTTTCACACTAACTGTTGTTTCTGTGTGGTGCGATTTTCTGGAGCTGGACAGGAGATGCCCTGGGAGCCCTGGTGCAGAGCTTGATTTAGAAACCTTTGCAGAACTCAAGATTTCCTGTGATCTTCATCGATGTCTCCTGTTATGTGTTTTTCTTTTATTTCTACTTAAATGAACTGAGACAACCTACGTACTAAATTTCTTAAAATT